AATAAGTCTTTATTGCTTGCCCGAAATTTTTTTAGACAAAGCAGTTGCAGCCCCTTGTATTGCTGGTGCACCGCTCATGTGTATGACGTGCCAAAAGCTATCGATGATAGAACCCGTGAAATGGTTGTAGAGAGAGAGCATCTTTATTTTTTGCAGATTTTGACTTTTGCTTTTGAAATAAATGTTGCTCATCATATGACTTTGACATCAATTCTGCATTTGATGGTTATAGAACATTTATCAAACAATTATGCCATCGCATAGTTTTGTTTTGTCTCTTGACAAACAAGCTTATGATTATTCATTGAAGATGATGGCCATGGACTCGAGGATGTGGTTTTAATTCAGAAATAAATCTGACAGAATTATTTGCAATTATGATAACTCTTATAAAAATTTTTTTTTGTACAAATATCATTAATCTTTTTCTCATAACTGTAGAGTTACATTATGAAGAAAAAAAAAACTTTTTATTTTACTGTGATGATAAATAGTTAAAGTAGCAAATTGCTTTTAAACAGTTCTATTTCAAGTTGTTGATTTTTGTGGGAATGTTACGTCATGCTTAGATTCACTGATTTTATCGATGGGCACAATTTTCGACTTTGAAGACAACTAAGATTTTGTTAATTTATAAGATTTACTTAGATTAAAAATGAAAGAATTTTCTGCTCGACTATTTTTCCAAAATTCTCAGTCTTTTGTAGAAGATGTGGGAATGAGTTAGTCGTCTCTCTTCATTCATCTACACCCACTCTAGTATCATGTACCAAAAGATATTAGGAACTACTCTAGATCAAATGATGTATTCTATCAATGTATTTCCACATAGAGCGTTTGGTAAAATCCAGTATATGATAGCAAATAGCCTGCGTAAATCGCAGGAAGTTTTCTTTTACTAAATACATATTGTTTTGTTTTAGATACTTTCTTAACATGAAGATATTGTTGTCTTCAGATGATATTTGACTCATGATTTGCTTCTATTTTTCTGAATATGTTAATGAAAATTGATAAGAATGTGAAAAATGAAGTTACTGAATTGCTTACACTGACTTTTTTGACGACTAACAAAACTAAATTGCTTCTTGCATGTGTAGCTATCATGTTCACATTTAGGAATTATTTCGATTATACTACCGGTCAGAGCTTCGAGGGACGACCAAAAAGTCGTCACGTCCCGTCCTGTGTCCCGCCCTCTTTTGTCCCGTCCTGCCGCATCCTGTTACATGAACGTAACTCTTCTTTCTCAAAGTACAGTTGAAAAAAGATCCATCTTCTTCAGTCTAAATTACCTATCTTACCATTCAACTGTTTCAGAGCAACATCTATACGGCAATATTATTATCGCAAAAGAAATGATTTTTTCATCTCTAAAATATTTCTATCGCTTGGGAAACCGACCAAAAAGACTTTCGAATGTTCGCAAACACAAATAGGTTTCAGAGTCGGTCTAAGAAAAATCTTTGGAAGATTTTCGAATAGAAAAAAAAGGTTTCTGAAGGCTCGAAAACTCTTAAAGAATTATCGATAGTAACAAGTTCAAAAACCAAAAAGATTTCCAAAGAAAGAAATCCGTTTTTTGAGATTCGACAACCCTTTTCGGTTTCGGAGTTCGATACTATCGGAAACTCTAAGAGTTTTCGAGCCTTTAAACATTCTTTTTTTCCACTCGAAAACCTTCCAAGGAGTGTTTTTTAGACAAACTTGAAAACCTTTTTGGTCGATTTTTCAGGTGATTAAAATTTTTTAGAGCGTTGGTGAGACGGGACGGGATTTGTCCCGGATCCTGCGGAGCTCTGCTACCTATTGATGAACACTTTTGGTATACAACTATGGATATCAATCATATAATTGGAAAATCTGGAGTAGGAGTTTTGACTTTTTTGAAGAACAGAAGTTGAACATCGAAACTTTTCCACGTAAGAAAACGTCAATATCTTTTGACCATGTACGTCAGCGGATGGGTTCTTCATCTATGCTATAGACTTCACCAAATGAACGAATATCATATTGCTGACACACAACTCAAGCCAATCCACCCGCAATTTACGGAGCGTAATGGCATACCCAATGAATCAAAATATGTTCCGTGATGAGAAGTTTTTATGGAGTACAATCATGTAATGGGCGTCACAAGCCAGTAATGAGTCTTGCTATGGTGGACGTGTAATAAGTGCTGAATAATACTTTATAATAACAAAAATAACTTACTGATTGTGTCACTGCAAGTCACTTTTGTCGTTCTGTATGATATGACGTTATGCGAAAGAAAGTTCATTTTCGTGTGCATATAAAGAGATAGAACGAAAGAAAGTGAATCTTTTTTCGCATGGACACCGTCATATAGCATAGAACGACGAACTTACTCGCAGTGATATGATAAGTGAGTGTGTCACTGCTATTTCTACCATCTCTAGTAATTGTTCGTTCTTCTATTTATTAAAAAGTTCTCGATTATATACAAAAAATAAAATACATTTTAAGCAACTAAATTTTTACAACCATAAATATAAATCACGATCAACATATTTAATACAATAATCATTAACTAAGTTTTCCGATTTAATTAATATATTTATTTCTTTCAAACATCTTCTTGGTAATCGTGGCATACATAAAAACGTTAAAGGACCTGTTTGAATATTATTATTTGATAATATAAATCGAACAATTTCATTAGTTTCTTTTTTCTTCACACCAATTTTCATATATTCTAATTTTGGAAATAACTTCATAATCAATTGAATTCTTTCTAATGAACACTGATCATCAAGATCTAAATATTTTATTTTATTTGTCTTTGATACATATTGAAATATTTGACTTTGTTCAATTACATTTGTTTTTATTTTTTTAAAAAATAATAAATTAAATTTTAATGTATGCAAATTAGGTATAAATCGTATTAAATTAATTATTTGTTCAAGTGGAAAACTGAAGGATTCGATAAGTATTTTTGTGAGATTTTTTAAAGGAATAATACGATTGAGAATCATTGGAAACAAATCATCGGGCGTTTCAAAATTATTTGTAAGAGTTAATTGAGTTGTATTTGGAAAATAATTCTCATGATTATTTGTTACTCGTTTACTATCAATAAGAACATGTTTAACTGATTTGAAATTTGTTTTTCGAAGATATGGACAGGATTGTCTATCTGATTGCCAATAATATGTATAATCTTTACTTCTAGAGAAACAAAATATAGAAATAATAAATCGAGTGTGTATAATTACCGATATGGATCTGTTGAATAGAATATTCCACAATCAAAATTTTCTTGCCAATCATGTTGATGTGTAAAAAACCATTGTTTTGAAATCCAAAATGAAGAATTAAATTGATTAACTAATTCATGAAATGTTACTTGATTCGATAATCCAAATCCATGGTAACTTACATTATAAACACGTAGATTTGGCATATAAATTGATATTAATTGTTCCCATCTTTTTGCATTTAAACATTCAAAACTATATCTGTTTGTTGTAAGTTGTAAAACTTGAACAAAATAAAAGAATTTTTTAAATGATTCTTCAATATGATTAAGATCAATAAAATCAAGTTTGAGTGAAACAGATTTTAAATGTTCTAATACAATTGGTTCTTCTTTGTTTATCTTGTTTGCCGTATGATAAGAACTACGAAGACAATCAATTTTTAAATGACGAAGTTTTGGAAAACAAAATAATAAATTTTTAAATGATTCGACATGAAAACGAGTATCTATCACAAGATGTTCGATAGAACTACGACCATAATCAGTAAAATAAATAGGATGTGGTTCATATTCATTTGTTTCTTGATATGTAATTTTGAAATATTTTAAATTAGATAAAGAAAATATTGTACGAAATGGAATATTTTCATATTCAAGCTTTTCAGTAAAACTAATAATTAATGAATGTAATTTAGGTAAATGTGTTAAATAAGTAGAAATGTTCTTAAAGGATTGGTAAATGATATTATCAAGAACCAATGATTCAATTTGAGAAAATTGTGTTATTAAACGTGGTGGTGAAAAGACAATATCAGTAGTAAATAGATTTGATAATCGAAGATAGTTTATTCGATGTCTATTTGGTAGAATAATATTTTTGTAACAACGTTGAAAATTTGTTTTTGTCATTGTTGAAATATTGATTTGAAGTGGAAGATTTGAATTATTCAGTAGTTTTTTAAATCGTTTGTTAAGATCAAAGAATCCATCATAAACATGAAAAATATCAATATAATCAAATATTTCGTAGATTATTTCATTAGCTAAATCTTCCAAAACAGATCTAGATGAAATAAAATATAAGAATAAGATTATAAAATAGATTTCAACTAACTTAATTGTATTAACATTTTGATGATGCAATTTTTGTTTTTTATTTTCAGGATAATCTTGAATGATTTCATTTTGTTGCCGTTTCATTAGTTCTATGATGATGATATTTATCGAAAGAAAATTTTTTTCGATCACTATTACTACCAAAGAAAATACATATATGCACATGGAATCACGTTCTATTCTTCGTTATATATACATAAGTGAACAAAAGAATAACTTCTTACTGTCCTTGTAGAACGAAGAAAAAAACATTTTATTGTAATAAATTAGGTGCATATTTTCTGAAGAAAATAATTTGAAAATTTATCATTAAATTTTTCGAAGATATTCATAATTTTTATGTCAATTAACATAATCTATCAATAACACATAAGTATACAGGGATAAAGATACGATATTATTTAAAATCACCATTGTACAGCGTACTGATATTGTTATAAAAAAAAATGATTCCAAAGAGCGTCTATTCGTACCAAATCGTTAGAGTGCATAACTATCAAACTGTTTTTACTACTGTAGCTAGAATAACTTAGAGTTGATTCACTTGAATCATTAAGAAATGAATATGAATTTAAAAGAATTTGGGATAAATCAATGAAGATTTGTATAGCTAATGATATTGAGGTTTTTAAAACAAATACCAAATTTAAAATTCTTAATAATGTCATCTTTTTCTAATAATATGTGTAATGCTTATTATTGGCAAGAATTAATTACATCATCATTACCATATTTACATGATTTAAGATTTGCATTTTGTTATTATTATAAAAATAAAACAAAGGAATTTATTGATAAATTACAACAATTTCAAAATGATTTTTGGCAAAAAGAACATCAATGGTTTGTTGAATATGAATTAATAAAAAATACAGCATATATCCGGTTTCTGGGCAGCTGAATTCATATTGGTTGCGAGTCAACCAATCAGATTTCGAGGCGAATGAACTTCATATTCGAACTCACCACCTCTAAAAGCCCCTATCTCATCGTTTTCCCGAAAGTGTAGATGTTTTTGCCTGTTTTCTTCGCAGCTGAATTCCTATTGATTTTTGACCAACCAATCAGATTTCCAAGCAAATGGACCGCAGATTCAAACTCAGTACCCTCCAAAACCCATAGGTACATGCCTTGTGTGCGCTCATAACGTGCTACTCAACAGTTCTTCGATACGACCGAATGCTGCAATCTGATTGGTCAGGTACAGAAGCGAGCCTTTTGCGGGCGGAGGACCCATGTTTTTTCGACAAAAAATAGTCGTTGACCTTCCTCTGGACCAAAGAGTATGCCATGCAAAGTCTCGTCGCATTTGCTCGTACGGTGTGGAAATGCATGAAGAACATACAAGCAAACAGACAAAGAAACAGACAAACTTTCTTCTTTATATATATAGATATATATATGCATAATAAGAAAAATATTGGTCAAATTCAACATGAATCAGTCTAATGTTAGCTTTCTTGATTTACCTAACGGAATATTACTTGTCATTTTAAAAAATCTCGACAATATGGATGTTCTTTATTCATTGTTGGATGTTGATAATCAACGAACTGACATTATAGCTCAAGAAAATATTTTCACTAATACTCTCAATTTTGTATTAATAACATTCACTAATGATATTGCCTCGATTAGCAATACAATAGTTGATCGATTTTGCATAAATATTTTACCAAGAATTCATCACAATGTTAATGAACAAAGGAATATATAACAATTGTCGAACATCGTTCGAATCCATTTTGGAGCTACGACTAGAACTTAATGAGAGTAAGAAGAAAATGAGTAAAGAATATATCTATATTTCTCTTTGCTTGAGAAACACATGAATGTCAATTATAGTGTATACCGTACAAATTGACTTAACTATTTTCTCATATTTTATTTGAAAAATAAATATGGTCAAGGAGACTAGTTTTCAATTCATTCAATCGATACATTACTTTATATTTTTCTTGTTGTCACTTTGTATAAACACAAAAGATTTACTTTTACTATTATGTTCTATAATAGAATTAAATGAAAATTTTACGTATGTTAAGATTTTCAGATTTCAACTTCTTGCAACAAAGAAAAAAAACAATCAAGGAAAAAACTAGAAAAAAAGAACCTCATTTGGCTTGCACCTATGTGACAAGCAAATCTTCAGTAAGTTACTATTGAAGTTCAAAAGATTAATTTAGTTTTAAAAAAAATTTAAGTTAAATAGTTGTAAAATTTCGGCTCTGTAAAAAAAATCTTACACAATTTATACGCAACTCTATTCGGAATACGAAAGACAAAAAAAAATATAAAAATGAATAATGAAAATTTGTATTTAATTATACCGTTCGTTCTCGTCTTTGTTTTCAATTAAGATATGATCGAATAGTAGAAGTATCAAATATCATATCAACTGTTTGAAATAATTTTTTGATAATTCATTATGAGGTCATATTCGATGAATTTCATTTATGACATAGTCAACATACTTCCAATTAAATATTTTGATACATCAACAGATTCTTTACCAGAATTTTTCATTCGTTTAAGAATTAACTTTCGAATAATATGATCAACTATGATTCAAAAAACAACAGAATAAGTCAAGAAGAAATATTTTTGTTTTTTTTCCTTGTAATATTACCATTATTATTAATTTATTTGTCTGTCGATCTCCTTCAATCATATCGAGTAGAGAATAAATAATATGTTGACGATAAATTTTGGAAATATTTGAATAACTTATTTTAAACATTATATGTCAATAATATTCTGTCAATCATCACCATGATTATTAGAATCACTATAGATTTCGGCCAAATATGTACAAAATTGTTCATCATTATTTACTTCAAAACAAATATATCAATCTGAATAGAATTTTCAGCACATAAAAAAAAAGAGAAAACCAATACGAGATTTGTTTTGACATGTGATTGTGCAGCAAGAATATGTTTGTCGTCGTAACAAACGTCGCACAACAGAAAGAAAAAAAAAAACTTTTTCGTTTTCATAAAAAAGATAAATAAATACATCATATGTCATTATTTTATTTTTCATCAGATACGTCTTTATTAATAATACTCAATAATAAGACAAAAAAACCGAGACACAAATACAAGAATAATAGTGTCTTTTTTTTTAATTTAAGTAAACACATAGTTTTAACGAAAAAATAAAGAAATAAAATAATTCATAAAATACACCTGAATCTTCTTTTGTTAAAAATCTTATCACTTTGCCTACACTACTTGTGCAACCAATACGATGTATATAATCTCAAATCATATTCATTTTCTTTTTCATGAAATTCTTTTTTTTCTTTTATATCAGCGTTTCCACCCTAATAGAAATAAGCAAAATAAAAAAATTCAAAAATAATACTTTGTTCAACATATTCTGTTAGATTATCAATTGATCCAACACAAACAGATGCTGGATGACGACGAAGATATGTATGTACTAAACGTTCAATAACTGGTGTTATTGTTACTGTATGCATCACTGTTTGATGATATCTATATCTTTTGAAGCAAAATCTCTTAAAATAAAAGAAAGAAAATTTTTTTTCTCTTATCTTGTATCTTTTACAACTTCATTATCTGTTTTTTCGATTAGTAACTAGTGAATATTCAAAAATATATTTAACATCAGCTTCAAAGTTCATATATATGATAAGAAAAAACTAATGAAAATCAATAGATAAATATAATGAAATTTTTCTAACCAATCCTTCGATAAGCTACATCCATAACAATATAAATACATTGTTGTAATATTAAATAACGATTTTCAAGTACATCAATAAGACGATTTGATATACCAATAACAAACAAACACAAAAAAAAAACACATAAATCAACAAGAATTAACTTACCTGCTGTTTTATCAGAATTAGTTTCCGCAATACCAATTACATCTCGATTTTGTAAACCAATTGAAATAGCTTGTCGTTGAATTGATGTTAGTTTCTATTAAAAAAAACCTATATCAGCGCAGCTCCTTTGGAGCTAAAATGTGGAACTCATGTGTTCTTTAGCTGAGTTATACCAATACAAAAAAGGTTAATTGAAAAGTTTTCTAATAGATTATTGTTATTTTCCAACGACAATCGATCAATGTCGAATATGAATTTTTATCTGCGCCAAAAATAAAAAACTACACTATATTTAGAACATTCATAAATGTATTATAGTCATTGAAAATTCGACGAAGGCTTTGAAATGTTCTAGAACAGTGTAAATCTTATTGTTAATGTCATTCAGTGCCTTTTTCCGTTGCTAAGAAATTGTGGGAAAAATCTAAAGCCTATTGTCTTTGGTTGGTATAGAAATGTACGAAATGATCGCTGCCTCCTTCCTGTCGTTACGAGAAAAAACATTCTCGTTGGTCTCTGACATTTGAAACTGGTCGCTAGAGTCTAGAGAAGGAAGCCTCAAAAACCTCGATTTAAACTTATACTCACTGTTTTCTTCGATATTATATTTGAGTTTCATAAAAAAAGTTTTGTTTTTTACTTTAGAAAATTAAAGTTACTTTATAACCAGCAGTTTTGATAACATTAAGAAGGCTCTTTTCAAGTCTAGCTCCATCCAATGATCATAATGGATGTGAAATATTTTCATCTCTGGTTGTCATATTATAATCTTCTTTGAAAATACGCCAATCTCGATCATATTTAAGACGATCTCTAAAAAGTAATGAATGACTAAAACTTTTATTTTTTTTTTAATATAATTTACGTTGCTCGATCTTTTTCTTCTTGTCAACGTACGACGTTGTTCAAATAGATCATCATGAAATTTCGATTGATTTTTTTTTCTTTACAGGTTGGATTATAATCAACAGCTGTATCTTCACCAACATTTCAATCA